TATAGTCTATTCATCGGGTACTAAATCCATAGCTACCAGTCTTTATCTAATAGGTACTAAGTCCATAGCTACCAATGTTCAACAGGTACTAAATCCATAGCTACCAACGTCTAACAGGTACTAAGTCCATAGCTACCGGTGTTTGTCCCATAGGCACTAAGTCTATAGCTGCGAATGTATACTCACATCATCTTCTATCTATCATCATTTATCTACCCATCATCATACCCAACATATTCGTATATATAAAATACGTATACAGTTTAAATCCTTTAAAACATGTATAAAACGTTCATCCAGCATAGACAGCAAGTATTCAGATAATATGCACACATAGCACGTAGTTTATATAAAATACTTCATATCTATGTGTAAGATGAAAGAGACTATGCACTCACAACACGTAAATTATATAATAAATACTTCATATCTATGTGTAAGATGAAAGGGACCATGCACTCACCTGAGAAGGTGGTGACTCGGTACTCGGACAGCGCTTCGTTTACTTTAAAATAATTTCTTTCGACGAAACCTAGTATTATCACCAATAGATTTTAGTCTATTATTCGCCGAGACTAATTAATAGTCTAGCTATTATTACTATTATATAAGCGTTAAAAAAATACTTATATAACCCATAATAATAGCCCAAGTATTTATTATATGTTCTTAATAACGTTAATATAATTAAATAAAAACTATATTAAAAATAGCGTAGGCGTAGCTCACTTACAACGGGTTTTATAGAAAACCAGGCTTTGCTTGGAGCAGCGTTTCCGAGCCGAAAAGCTCTTCTTCTCGGAGCCGTCGAGCACTCCGGGGCTTCCGCCTCGTGCTAGGGAGGTTCCCTAGGCTTTTCGGGGGATTTCGGGGCTAGAGAGAGGTTCTAGAGAGAGAGTAAAGAGAAGAAAGAATGGGAAAGGTGTGAAGAAAATGAGGGTGGGAGAGGTGGTATTTATAGGGTGAAAATGGCTGAACTTGGTGCCACATGTCACCATCTAGTGGCAAGACTTGGGGAGAAAGCAATGGCCAAGATTGTGCCACATCACCCATTTTCGCATAGCACACTTCCGACTTCTAAAATCCGTAACTTTCACATACGACCTCTGTTTTTGACGTTCTTTATATCCACGCGTAGGTAAAAATAATATCTACAACTTTCATTTTGACTCCGTCGGCTAATTCTCGACCGATCTTAAATTTAACAGTACGAGGCGTTTAGACTGTTAAATGACCGCGAAGAATTCGTAACTCCTTCATACCGACTCCGTTTTCGTCTGTATTTTTACCGTTGAGTTCCTATTAATGAGATCTTGAACTCTCATTTAGGTCACGTAAGCCAAAAACCGCTCGAACTAAAATTCGAGTTTCGGGTCGTGCACTGCTAAGCCGAATCTTAGAAAAATCATAACTTCCTCATACGAAGTCAGATTTGGGTGTTCTTTTTATCGACGCTCTTAGTTTAACATATTCTACGACTTTGGTTTAGATTGCTAAGGATAAATCTCTCTCTATCGTAAATTCACTATTTACGCTTCCCGGTGTCGTGCCGGTTTTGCCGTAAAACTTCGACAAGCCATAACTTCTTCGTTATAACTCGGATTTCGGCGTTCTTTATATGTACAGAAACCTTGTGACATATTCTACAATTTGGTTAAGATTATTTATTCTAAATAATCTTTTGTCGAAAAGTCATTTTCAACCCATATTGCCTCTAAATTGACTAGCCCGGATCTGCGGGCGTTACAGAACGGAAGATAGAAGAGATAAAATAGCAACCCTAAACGACTGGCCCTTCAAATCTATTTATAGAGCAAAATTTGCCCTTGCCACGTAGTGACACCTTTTTCCACGTCGTGGGCTTGGTCGTCACTGCATGCGTCAGCGCAAGTTGCGTCTGGGGACTCCAGGAGGTGTCAGAAGACTTTCCACGTCGTGGCACTGCTTGCCACGTCGTGGTATCTGACAGTTTTGGGGTTTCGCGCCCCGAACTTCAGAAATTCATAACTTTCGCATACGAACTCCGTTTTCGACGTTCGTTATATCGATGCGTAGGTGAGGTTATGATCTACAACTCTCGTTTAGACTCCGTTGGCTAATTTTGATTTATTTTTAATATATTATAAATATATTAGTTATATATTATTTTTAGTAGGCCGGGACAGGAAAACTCCGTTATAAATTCATAACTTCTTCATCCGACGTCCGTTTTCGCCTATCTTTTTATCGTTTCACTACTATTAACGAGATCTTCGATTCTCGTTTAGATTGTTTCAGCTAAAAACCGCTTGATCTCAAATCGAGTATTTGGGTTGCATACTACTAAGTCGAAACTTCAGAAAATCATAACTTCCTCATACGAAGTCAGATTTGGGCGTTCTTTTTATGCATGCTCTCGGTTTAACGAACTCTTCAACTTTTGTTTGGATTACTAAGGCTAGATATCGTTCTATCTTAAATTCGTATTTTACGTCATTCGGTGTCGTGTCGGTTATGTCGCGAAACTTCGACAGATCATAACTTCTTCGTTATAACTCGGATTTTAGCATTCTTTATATATTCGGAAATCTCGTTTCAACTACTACAACATTATCCAAAGATATCGACTTTATCTACTATTTTATTTTGACGCTTATTTTTTATTCTTAATTCATTTAAGCCACACAACTAAGCACAAAACATATAATACTCAAATAATACATTTTTATTATTTCAAAATGGGTTACAAAGGTTAACCTAAACTAATACATTGCTATTAATGACAAGCCCAAAAACACAGTTACAAAGTCCAAGACCCATATTTTCTTTTAGTCTTCATTCACCAACTAGCCCATTTTGTATCAAATACAAAAGTCACCAAGCCAAAGATTCCTAAATCTTTAAGTCCATTTGATTCACGTAATTATCATCTCTGCTCCACGCTAGTTTTCTAAAAATTTAAAATTACAGTCAAAGACTAGAAAGTTTCCGATATAAACAAAAAAAAGGGAAAATATGTGTGACATCAACTAAAATTGAAATGAAATATATTAAAATAAACCATAAAAATGAACCTATTAAATCACAAAGGAAATGACAAAAATGCCCTATGTGCAAGGCATATATAGGGCATGTTAAGGACACCTATAAACGAATATCGTTGATAAGAACCATTTAATTGTAAGGTTTCATCCAAAAAAAACCCATTGTTAAAAAAAAAATGTTTCATAGAAACTATTTTAATGAAAAAAAAGGATAAGGACCATTTATGAAATTTTGTCGTATCTTAACGATACATTTGGGCCCGAGCAGCCCCACCCTCCCCTATTTTCTTCTCGGCTGATGGCAAGTGGAACCCACCTCCCACTAACACACACTCTCCCTTTCCCTTTATTCCCCCGTCCTCAACGGCAATATCTTCGCCGGCGGTTCTTGGTCGACCAAGTAACTCAAAATCCCCGATTCCTGTGCTGTTATCGATTAGAAAAAAAAAACAGATTTAGCTTCGAAAACCCTTAGTTGAGATACGTCAACACACTACAATTACTTCATGGAATTCAAACAAAGAAGTCAACACTCACACTCCCGATCTGTACGCTTTGATTAATTCTCCTTTCTTTCAAATCTACCCCTATCTTTTTCTCTTAATCCAATTCTAAAAGTGAAGTTCGAATCTACACGGATATGTTATGATATGCTCTTTACTTAAATCTAGTTTTCGAAACACCACAATTTTTACCTTTTGAATTTGCAGGGCACACTTCGATCAACTGAGCACGGAAGAGATTTCGCATAACTCTAAACTCCATGTGCAATTCTGCAAACCCCTTCGAATTTGATTTTTCACTCAAGTTCGAGAATGAGTTATTAGTTTCTATAACTTGTATATTGTCATATGACAATGATTCGAATGCTTCTTATTGTCTATCTGTCTTGTTTGATGATATTAGATTCTTAAATATTTGCATCTGGTCTGTTAAGGGATTGTGGAACACAGCTATATTATAGATTTCTGTGTTCTGAAACAAAGAAATTTGTTTTTGTTTTGATGTATAAGTTTATGTTAGTCTGATTACATGTGGATTTGATACTTACGATCGAATTTGTTTTTGTTTTGACTTCATTTCGATCTTAAATTTCAGAACAAATGATTAGGCTGCAATCAAGTTCCGGTGAAATGATGCAGACATCACTTTTGATTTAAGCGACTATGAGGAAGATATGGTGGAGACAATTTAAATAGACGGCACTTGTAAGTTTCATGATCATTCTAATGTTTAAGTTCTGCAACTGATGTAACAGATGAGAAACTCATCAAAAGAAGAATTTATTCATCTGGATCTCTTTTGTTTTGATTCGGGAATCGGGATGAAGATAGGTTTGATTTCTTCGTTGGTGGTGGCTAGAGAATTCCTCGGAGTGATGAATGTTTCATGAGGAATGAAGTGGGGTGCAACTAAATATAAATATAATAATAATATAAATATTACATAAATAAATAAAAAACAGAGAAAGGCATATATTCGTTTTACTTGGAAGCAGGGCAAAAAATCATTCTGAAGCAACCAAATGTGGACCAAAATTGCAAACTGATAAAAAATTCAGGGACCAAAATATGACTTACACTAAACCTAAATGACACATGTCACTCGTGGACAAATATGGACGGGCCAAAAGTGTTAATGGTTCTTTGATTCTGAGACAAAAGAATGTCACTTTATTGTTTCAAATGAAAATGGTCCCATCTAGAATTGTCTTCAAAAATCTCGTTGGTTTTAACGATGATATCAATGGGAAAACAAGTCACTTTAGGATAGCTTTATTAAAGTCACTTTAGGATAGTTAAGCTAGCTTTATTAAAGTCACTTTAGGATAGTTAAGCTTTATTCAAAGCGTAAAGAAATTTCTTGAGCTTTTTGAATTGAAAATTTCTTGGAAGCTCACATCTCGATCTATATAAAGTTCCTATCTTTGAGGTTCTCAAATCACATACCTTCTATCTCAACAAAATCAACACATCGATGGCATCTTCATCGTCTTCTCTTTCTGTGCCGTCATTATCTTCTCAGTTGTGGCAATACCATGTTTTTCTTAGTTTTAGAGGAGAAGATACTCGTAAGAATTTTGTGGATCATCTCTACACAGCTCTTGAACACCAAGGGATCTTTACTTACAAGGACGATGAAACACTTCTTCAGGGTGAATCAATCGGCCCATCCCTTGAGAAGGCTATTGAAGAATCACAAATTTCTGTCATCATATTCTCTAAAAACTATGCTGATTCTTCATGGTGTTTAGATGAACTTGTACATATCATGAAATGCAAGGATAAGAGAGGCCAAGTCGTGATACCCATATTTTATGACGTTGATCCTTCCGATGTTCGAAAACAAAAACGCAAATATGGAGAAGCATTTGTGAAACATGAGTTGGAGAACAACAATAAGGTTGAATATTGGAGAAAAGCACTTGTGGATGCAACTAACATTTCTGGATGGGAAACCGAGCACATTGCCAACGGGTAATTTTCTTCTTTGCTTGTGCACTTTTTATGCTTAAGATATGTGTGCTCTAGGACAAGACATGTATACTTATATACCTTATAAGCTTTTTATAGGATAAAGCCAAATTCTCGATGATAAAATACATTATACATGTATTTAGAGAACAACTAATCATGAATAACGGTGCAAGTAATTATACTAGTGTTATGCAATAATCCAATAACAATATCTACATCTTAGATGGGAATCAACAAGTATGATCTGAAGTTCTATTAGCTTACTTTAAAAACACTACAGGTTATACATAGTGATGATACTGAGTAGGTTGTCGTACAAATACTTCTATTATTCTTGATGATGTTGATGACCTTAATTGATAAATAATGACTTTAACTAGACTACTTCATAAGAGCCGAATAATAATCACCACTGCAGTACTAATGAAAGTTTATGGTTGCTAAGAACTCACAAAGTAGACATTGTCTAGGGTGTTAGTTTATGATATAAGCCTATTTGTCAATGTGAACATGTGTTAATGATCCTTATATATTGAATTTGAAGGCATGAGTCGAAGTGCATCAAAAAAATTGTTGACACAATTTCACATAGGTTGCATCCAATAACTTCAAGTGTGGATGACAACCTGGTTGGAGTAGAGGCTCGCATGCAACACTTGATACCAAAGTTACAGATTGGGCTTGGCGGTAAGAGGATGATTGGAATATGGGGGGTTGGGGGCGGTGGTAAGACTACTCTTGCCTCTTCTATTTATGATGAAATCTCTAGCAAGTTCGATGGTTGCTGCTTTCTAAAAAATATACGGGAGGAATCAAGTAACAAAGACGGGTTGGAAAGATTGCAAGCGAAAATTCTTTGTGGTGTTTTGAAACAAAAACAAGTGGAGGTGGGGAGAGTTGAAGAAGGAAGGCGCATGATAAAGGATAGGTTACACCGTAGAAAGGTCTTGATTGTTCTTGATGATGTTGAGAACCTTGAGCACCTGGAACAATTAGTTGGATCACATGACTGGTTTGGTGAAGGAAGCCGCATAATAATCACAATTAGAGATGAGCATGTTTTAACTGGACATAAAGTAGATGTGATACACAATATTACCTTGTTAAACAATGACGAGGCTATGAAGCTCTTTTGCAAGCATGCACCTTGTGGTCACAAACCTTTAGAAGATTACGAGCTTCTTTCAAAAGACGTGGTTTCTTATGCTGGTGGGCTCCCATTAGCACTTAGTGTTCTCGGTCGTTTTCTATGTGACAAAGAGATGGATGAGTGGAAAAGTGCATTGGCTAGACTGAAAGATATTCCAGATGCTGATATCTTGGAAAAGCTAAAAATCAGCTTTGATGGACTCAACACTGTGGAGAAACAGTTGTTCCTTGATATTGCATGTTTCTTCAGAGGGAGGTATAAAGATAACGAAGAGATAATGATGATACTTAATGCTTGTGGTTTTCACCCTGTTATAGGCATAAAGGTGTTGGTACAAAAGGCTCTCATAACTATTACAGAATATGGAAAGTTTGATATGCATGATTTAGTACAAGAAATGGCACACTACATTATTAGAAAGGAACACCCCAACAATCCTGATAAACATAGCAGAATCTGGAAGGGGGAAGATGTTCTAAAAATATGTGCAATGGATGCAACGACGGTAATGGTTAAGCTCGTTTTTTATGATACAAATACGTATAAAGAAACACATCTAACTCAACCCTGACACCATTTTGTTCCTCTATCCCAGAACCTTGACAAGATTGAAGCTATATATGTTCAGCGTATCAGGAGTGACGAATCACGTGTTCTTCAGGTCACTGCAAACATGAAGAAACTTCGGTGGATTGATTTGAACCTTAATCTGGCAGAAGCTGAATTGGTTATAGTGCCAGAAAAATTTCCACCAAGGGAGCTTTGTTGTCTAACATTGAGGTTTCTCAATGCAAAACAACTTTGGGCGGGTTACAAGGTAATTCTTATTGTTTAATGGATGAAAGCAAAGTCTCTCTCTCTCTCTCTCTCTCTCTCTCTATATATATATATATATATATATATATATATATATATATATATATATATATATATACATATAAAGCTAGATTTTAATGTATCTCAGTAATTATAAAATAAAAGGACTTACTAGAACGAATATATTATATATTAAAAGTTTATTGTTTTTGCTTATATTTATGAAGCGAGAATTGATAATTTTATTATAAGCATGACTTCTTTTATAATTCACATTTTGTAAGATATTGATTTTGTATGACAATTTTGTTATCATAAAAAGTTGATAATTTTCATGAAGTTATATTTTCTTTTCAATTGTGATGGTTTTCTGACCATCAATTTTGTATGACAATATAGAGAATCTTTTTAAAGCTAGCAATCATGTTTACAAACATTATAAAATATAACATGGCTCATCATATTTTTTTTGGAAATGACTGCATTTATATACCGTGTTGGCAGACTTTTGTCTTATGTGCTCTTGTTGTATACAGTTTCTACCAAACTTGAGAATGATCAGACTCTTTTACTTGACGAACCTAATCAGGACACCAGATTTTGATGGGCTTCCTAACCTTGAAAGATTCATAGTTGATGGATCTCCGCTTTTAGAAGAGATTCATCCATCATTTGGACGTTTGGAAAAATCTTGTTTGTGTAGAGATACGAGATTGTGAAAATCTTAATATGGTTCCACCCATTACCCGGTCGAAGAAACTCGAGACTCTTGTACTACTCTCAAGTTGCAGTTCATTTAATAATTTTCTACCTCACAACGTGAACCACATAGGGGCATGGTTTTTTGGTGGATGCTTAAGAAAGCTGGATCTCAGCTGGTGCAGTTTGGCAGATAGAGACATCAAATCTGCAGCTGTTTGGGTGTTACCCAAATTGCAAGAACTCAATCTTGAAGGAAATAGATTTGCACGGTTGAATTTTAGTATCTGGCTACTTCCTCGGCTCAAATGGCTGAACGTGTCCCATTGCAAAAAACTTGTAGAATTGTCGGAGCTGCCATCAAGCATAGCTGTTGTTATTGCGAATAAGTGTAGTTCATTTCAAAGCTTTGGAGATATTTCAAACTGTAAATGGTTGTGGAAAGTCTCACATTTAGAGGATTACAATGTAGGTCCAATTATTGGTGAGATATTACTAGATTCCATGCTCCAGGTTTGGCTTTTGATTCTCATTATATATATATATATATATATATATATATATATATATATATATATATATATATATATATATATATATATATATATATATATATATATATATATATATATATATATATATATAAACCCAAACATAAGAAGAATAACATAACGGATGTGTGCTGTGGCAGGGAAATGCTAAAGATTACTTTATCAGTATCAGCCTTTCAGGCTTTGACATTTGGAGAGGGCCATCTGTACTTTGGGTCGTCTGGGTGAAGACTTATAATATGCTGCTTCCACATGATTGGTACAATCACTTTTCTGGGATTTTGATGTTTGTCAAACCCAATAAGAAATTTGCTGGGATCCCTGACATAACCATCAAGCTGGGTGTCCTGGAAATTATTCAATCTGAGCTTGGTCAGGAGGCTAATGAAACACTTGACACTCGTTATCATGATACAAGATATGTAGGATATGTTTCCTTTAGTTCATTGAGGCACACCAGATGCTTGAATTCAACGTACAATTTCATTTCCTTTTCCTGCGATGAGGATTTATATGGAGACGGGCATAGCTTTAGAGCTGTACTTGTTCCTAAAGATGATCTGATGCAAACAACGAAAGTCACAACAGATTCCTCAGAATTTTGGGATGATAACATAAAGACATTTGTTGTAAAACATGATTTAAACTCCTCTATCGAGATTTTATGGAAACCATAAGTTGGTAGACATAATCCCAGAGGTTGGTTGACTACCCACGAGTTTTCCCCTCAACATAATCTTTTGTGTCACCATTAAATTATCTGTTGTACCATTTTCCTGTCTTCAGTTGGTTGCTACCAATTAAAGTTTATGCTAATTAAAGTACATTCAAGAGTCACTTTAGTCTCAAATTCATAGATGTTTGTTTAATGATCATGGTAGTTGTTTTTGTTAAAAAGGATTACATCCCGATTGATTAGATTGAAAATTGTATGGTAAAATGTGTCTTTATACGATACATCTGAAACATGTGCTAACTTCTCATATGTAAATTCGATCTAGAATGCAAATTTGGTCTTGTGAAAATGTATGTATTTGTTATACATATATGATATATCTGTCATATGCATATGTATGCAGCTAAATTATTTGGTTGGAATGGAATATCATAATACATATCATATGCATATTGTTACGTCCCAAAAATATCGAGTAAAATTTTCATTTTAAATAAGTTAAACCATTCATTCATTATTCCAAAAGATGACCAGAGTCAAAATATTGTCAAAACATTAGAGTAATTCGTAAACATTCAGTGCGAAATAAATCTCCAGGGGATGTGTTATCAAGCCAAGCCCTTCTTTTTGAAACCAGACGTACCTAATATATTTTAAACATAAACCGTAAATACAAAGCTTAGTGTGTTCCTCAACATACTTCATACCATACATACATATCAGCTCAAAGCTATAACGAGTCTAGTTCAACTCAATCGGTGTTTTTCAACCGAACGGGTTTACGTCACCCCCAGGTCTATTTCACCCCACATACATAAAGCATATAATCATATCAACAAGAGTCACAAAGACAACTAGCATCCTACACACATAATCTAGTGGGCCGACATTAGTGTCTTTGACCCATGAGTACAGTGAAGAGACTCACCTGAACTATTCAACAAAAGCCCAACATCTACCTCAGCAATAAAACAACCAACCCAAACTTCCTAAAGCCAAATCGAGATCAATCCTTAGTCAAATACTCAATTATGCCCAAGTTTGACCAAAAGTCAACCTAGTCAAAAAGTCAACGGTCAAAGTTAAGGTCAAAATCGCCAACAATAGCCCTCCACGTCTTGTCCTTGACCACGTCGTGGGCACAAAATGTCAAAAGATTCGTTGATTCCCCAGTCGTCATGCCGTGGCAGCCTAAGGCCACGCTGTGGGGATTGGTCTGAACAACTCAAACAAGCTTAATCTATTTTCTTTCGATTTCAAGAGCTCTAAAGCTCAGATCAGATCCTTTCCAAGGTCTTAATGGATAAAGTTTCCAACTTTATCCATAATAATGTCACAATCTTTCAAGGTCTAAACTTTAATACACCAAAATGGCCTGAATGACCAAGATAACTTGCATGGCTAAAAGGGAAGACAAAAAGATCATAACTTTCCTAGTGCATGAGGTCCAAGAAGCATTCCAAACTGATCAAAATATGTTGAAGTCCACTCAACTCCAAGATCACTCATAGAATGGACCAAAAGTGCCAAAAACCCCAAATAACAAGATCTAAAGAACTAGATAGCAAGATTGGAACTTTATACTTACAATAATCAAGATATGTAGTGCCTTTGATGGATCCAAACTTGAAACAACTTTCCTTGCAACCAAAATAACCTTCTTGATCTTCAAACTTCAATAAAATATCACAAAAAACATCCAAAAGAGGAGAGAGGAGAAGCTAAAATCTTGATAGGGTTTCTCCCAAGGGTTCTAGATATGACGAAGGCTACTAATGTCACACCCCCGAACCAGACGGCGGAAACGTCCGAGGGCTATTGTGACTTAATTGAATACCATCCCAATGATTATACATGAATCATAACATCATTCATCACCATGCATTGAAATATTACAACCGATATTGTTTACATTCAGTACATTGTTTTAAAATATTACATTTCCAAAACATATACCGTTCGATATTAATTAAACAAAACATCATGATATCACTGGATACATTTTCTTCGATTTACGTGTTACCTGAGAATACAAGTATTTTGGAAAAACGTCAACATATGAAATGTTGGTGAGTTCATAAGTAATGTTTGAAAAGTAATGATTTGTATTATTTTGAAAACCACCGGAAAATCCGATATTTTCTGAAAAGAGTATTGTATATAAGAGAAAGTGTGAAGATCCGTAAGTATGCTTGTTGATTTCTGTAAATGTGAATAATTGTTAGACTTTGTATGCATCACATAGATGAAAGTGTTGAATTCCCTAGGAAAACCCGATGTTTTCCTAATACATCAAATTACATGTCTTATTTATTGTTATGCCGATGCGACGTTTGTATTTGATAATTCCAGGTGACATTGGATTAATTATGGGTTGTGAGTCGTTATAATCACGCATTAATGAAAATGACTAGTTTATAACTACCAATTACAAACGATCCTTTTGGCGTCGTCCGTAAGACTCACTTAATCCAACCACCCTGACTTCTCATAGCCCCACAACTGAGGAGAAAAGAGGGTACGAAGCCCTCGTTATTTCCATAAGTCGTTCAAGGCTATCGTGAATGCGAAAGGCACTAGGCCCGACTCGCATTTGACTTTTCGACTTTGCTAGCAGTACTAATGGGCCCTTGGGGCCCAATAGCACAATAAAGCTATTGAAAGTCCTTTTACACGGAATTAGATCATAGAAGACCCAATAACATGTAAGTGTGTTCCCTTCGGGCCTAAAGATCATGTCATTGGGCTAGCTAGGCCCAACAATCATGATTTGAAACTTTCAAGCCCAAAGATTGAATATTGACTTCTCGTATATTTTCGTGTGTGTATTGAAGTACTATTATTTATTGATCTTTGATTCGTTATTGATTCGAGACCGAATCAATTCGTTTGGCAACAATATTGGTGTTGGATGTGTATTTGCTATTACGTTTCGCCGGTAGCCGTGGTACTCGTATTTTACCTTAAGGGATTTATTGTTTTAAACATTAGAGTTTTTCTATTTGATGCCCCTTCTTGGATATAATTTATACTTTTAACCCTTTATATAAAAGAATTTCCATTTTAGTCCTTAAACCATTTTTCTTGACACTTTACTATCAAAACTTGTTGAAAAGACATTTTTCAGCCCAAATTTACTTGATAAACAGCTTAAGTCCCTCAAAAATGAAATTTTCTCGGTTGAAACCCCCATTTTCGCAACTTTTACAATTTTGGCCCAAAAAGGGAATTTTTTGCATTTTTGGTCCCTTTTTATTTTGAAAACATTTTTGACCCTTGACTTAGTTTTATTACACTAGTAATCCCTTTTTTTCAGAAATGTGCAGTTTCAGCCCCTCTATTTCAGAATTTTCGCAATTTAGGGCTTATTGGGCCGAAAAGCCCATTTTTAGCCCATTAGGTTCAAAATTTACATTTTAAGCCCCTCAAAAGTGTTGATTTACAGAAAATTTATATTATAAACTGTTTAGACTATTTCCAACCTCCAGAATTATCATTTGTCGTTTTGGGCCCTTAACTTTTGTATTTTTGACAATTTGAGCCCAAAAATGGGTTTTGTGTCCAAAAATGTTCATCCTAACCAAATAAATTATTTTTATTGACTTGATTAGTGTAACATGGTATAAGCTATGTTTATTTCATTCTTCATGTTGTATATCTTGGTTTTTAGGTATTTTTAGCTAACATATTCATCACATAACACATAAAAATCATACATACATGCATAAAATCACACAAGACATACATGAACTCATAGATCTACACATTTGCTTGTATTCTCCCCCACAAAAACTTATAAAAATAGAAAAATAGGGGGTTTGAAGCTCACCTTGAGTTGGGTTTCGGTTTTGGAGAAGATTGGAAGAAGTTTGATGTTGTTTTCGGCCCTAACAAGCCTTCCTTTGTTGATTTCGAACTTAGGGGGTTTCTAAGAGAGTGATCATGATTTTTGCATGGATTAGAAAGAAAGTTTTGATAAAACAAAGAATCTAGATCATAGATCCAAGCATAATATTACCTTAGATGAAGAATTTGTGGAAATATCTTCTTGAAAAACCTTCTAAAATTCGAGATCTTGATGAAGAGTGGAGGGAGTTTCCTTGAGAGATTTGTGAGAGAATTGTGTGTGTGTGTGTGTTTGGAATCGGCCGAGAATGAGAGAGAGGGAAAGAGAGAGATCTTGAAGTGATGTATGCATGGGAACATGGGATAAGATGCATGGAAGACCATAATGTAAAAATGAGGTGGCTATGAGAAGTCAACTCTCCCTTTTATTTGGGCTTGGGCTGAGAATTAGAGGGGAAGAGAAAAGAATTTGGGCCTTGTATGCTTAAGCTTTTTTTCATGGTTATGTTAAGTGATGTTTGGTCCAAATAACCATAAATATGAGTCTTATGACCTATTAGGGCTAAATTAGGTTAATTATAGCCCAAAATGGTTCCTATAATTAATTTATTTCATTCTAGGCCCAATATGGCCCAAAATATTGAAATAAATGAAAGTAGGTCCAATTAGGGCCCATTCAAGAGTTCTAAGCCCAAGATAGTCAAATTGGAAGCTTATTGGTCCATTGGCCCCAATAAGGAAGTCCTAGTCCAAAATGGACCGAAACAAGAACTTCTAGGGTTTCCAATTGCTTGTTGACTATTTGTAGTGCTTGTATGGTGTGTTTGATTGAAATTTTTTTTGTTGTCATAGAGTATGCATCATACATGCTCTTATGTCTTTGATTCATAATTTGACTTAAGTGTTGTGGTTACAAGGCACAAAATTTCTAGTTGTGACAACTAAAATGCCCAAAAATGCAGAATCTTATGCTTATATACATTGAAAACTTTAAAATCATGGGCTTAGCCTGAATGATCACTGTGCCATGGCAACTCTTCACCGTCTGGTGGTAACTGTTGAGCCGTGGCAGTTCTCACCGTGTCGTGGGGCTGGTTTTCACCCAAATCCACCCCAACTTCAAATAGCCATAACTTCTTCGTTTCAACTCTGTTTTCGGTGATATTTATATCCACAAAAAGGTATTAATGAGAAGCACACTTATATCTAGTTACTTTTGAATTAAAATTAAAATCCTTAATTCCTAACAAAAATCTGGAACATCAGTTTTCTCATTTTACCCTTTGACTCTAAAACACAAACCACAGGTTTAGATCATATAACCAATATTATCAACATCCAATAAGATATAAACCCTATTCCCTTGAATCCCAAGGCCTTTACTTTATCCCTTTATTTTCCACAATATCGAAATAAGAAACTTCTCGAACCATGATGTTACAACTTTCCTCCACTTAAACTGGATTTCCTCCTCGAAATCTATCTTGGTTAGGATCTCT